AAAGCAGGGTCTCAAAGAGATATTCATACCCCACAGCAATATTATTCATAACAGCCAAAGGTAGAAGCAACCCCCCGGGCCCATCAGCAGGTGACTGGATGAACAAAATGTAGTCTGGACACATGACAGAAATACTGAGCTTTAAAAAGAAAGGAGATCGTGTCACACGCTACAGCTTGAGGGTGAAGCTTGAGGACATTATGCAAGGTGAAATACTGTAAGTGGCATATTTTAAGATATACTGTAGATGAAATAAGTCAGCCCAAAAGGACAAAGACTGTATGACTGAGGGCCCTAGAGTTGTCAGAGAGACAGAAAGTAGAAGGGTGGCTGCCAGCGGCTGGGAGAGGGACACTTGGGGAGTTAGTATTTAGGGGAGACAGAGTTTCTGTTTTGCAAGACGTAGAGTGCTCTGGGACTGGACGGCGAGGATGACTGCACAGCAACGGGGTCGTGCTTAATACCACTCAACGGCGCACTGAAAAGTGGTTAAGATGGCAAATGTATGTGTATTTTAACACAAATGTAAAGAAAAAGAATGTAAACAATGATTGAACTAATAAAATCAGTTTTTTAAAAAAAGAATGCTTACATTTCCAACTCAGAGACTTTCCTGAGCAATCTCATAAAGCAACAGTGCTGGCACCTGAAACCCAACATGCCCCAAACTATTTGGAAGCCTCGCGTTGCTGCCTCCCCTCCCCGCCCCTCGCCCCAGCCTCCCATTCTGCTGGTTCTAATTTCAGTTAATAGAGTCAGGGAACAGTATGCTACTCAGAAAGTCTACCAGGAAGCATTTTCACAATCCGGAAAGTGAAAGATATGGGGGTGCAGGGAGTCTACCTTTTTTCCCCTTGGAAAACACTGAAATAGGTTTCCTGGTTTTGCTGGGACAACTTGCTAAATTAACATCAAAGAAGCCTGTAGCTACAGCCCTCACCATTTCTGCCCGCCTGTGTGCTCCTTGTCGACTGCCTGCTCATCCTCCTGACCATTTCATCCATTCGTCAGACATGTCTGAGCACCTGCTCTGTGACAGGCACTGTGCCCGTTGCCTGGGCTTCGGGGTGCACACAACGGGCAAAGCCCATGCTCCTTGCCCTCGTGGAGTAGACGGACAGACAAGCAAGTAAGTCAGCGAGCATGCTCAATCCAGGCAGAGAGAAGAGAGGAGAGTGAGGACAGCAAGCTGGGTGAGGGACAGGCCATTGTCAGCTGCCCACCAGGCTGGGCATTCCCAGCCCACCTTCCTCCCCTCCCACACCCCATGCAAGATGAGCAGCCTTGGGTAGCAGCTGTGGGCCCCACACTACGAGCCCCCCCGGGGTGGACAGGGCCTGAACGCTCTGAATCTCCAGTGCCCAGGGTCAGTGACTACCCCATAGTTGATGTGGTTTAGTTCCCAAAGGCCTGGCTGGACCAGCCCTGTTTGGCGGCCTTTCTCGCTCCGGCAGCGCCCCCTGCTGGGGCAGGCGCAGTCCTTGCAGCCCCGAGGATTGGCACCCTCCCGCAGGAGGGGGCCTGGGGCCCTCAGGATTCCCTTCCTCCTCCGCAGGAGGCACAAGGCACACATGACCACAGAAGGACACACCTCTGTGTGACAATCACAAAGAAGACTCACTCTGGAACACATTTCCTTCTCTACTACTAGAACTAATGATTTAGGTCACTGGACAAAGTTTTTTAAGAAACGATTTTCAACACTGTTAAGTTGTGGCGGATGGAGGTTGGAGTTGTGTTTCTCAAGAAAATCTGTAGAAAGGCAGTTCTACAAGTTCTACATCAACACCCAGGGGCACAGTTGGGAACGAGGTCCTCTTGGAGCCACAGGAATACTTATTTGGATTTTAACAAGTTCAGTTCCCAAACCTTGGGCTGGACTGTGTGTCTGACCCTTTCACCCACTGGCCTGACAAGCACTTGAAGAACCAGGTCTTATTTCCCTTGTATACTCATTTCTCCCTCGTGCAAACATTTGCTTGAACATCATATTTGCCTGTGTCGGTCATTCCTTACGGGCCACCAGTTTTTGTCTAGCTGTTCGTTCACCCCACCAGCCTGACAGTCATTCATTCTACAGATGTCTGAATGTGTCAGGCACGGTGTCACCAGCCCAGAGTGCAGGCAAGGCGGGGGAAGGACAGCACACACGCCCACCTGCAGCCTGTGAGGCAGCCAGCAGACACACACAGTTGTGGTGAGTGCCATGAAGGGGACACACTGCCAAGTACACCTTCCAGGGTCAAAGGGAAGCCAGAGGGGCCGAAGACAAGGTCAGTTGAGGGTCGGGCAGGCCATAGGATAGAATGGAATTTTATTCTGACACACTGAGAAGCTAATGAGTGTCCGAGGCGAAGCCCAGTATGTCCAATGTAGGGTTTTTAAAGACCCCTTTGGGTGTTGTGTATGATGTAGACAGTGGCTTGGAGAAGGGACAGGGGAAGCAGGAAACCACTCAGGAGACTGTTGAGTGGCTCAGGTGAGTTGGGGTAGCAGTGGGGATGGAGAGGGGCCAGGGTGCATCTGGGGTGTTTTGGGTGGGGCCTGTAATCATACTGTAATCATACTCTTACTATTAACAGATTATTCTAAGCCAAAGTCCTTAGAACACACTGCCCTGAGAGTCCATGAGGCAGTTTCTGGTAAGTGGGTGACGAGGCCGAGGAGCCAAGCTGGGCCTCCCTTGCCTGTGACTTCTCTCACATTCACATAGCTGGTGACCTGGGCTCCATCTGCCATCCTGAGCCCATCTTTCTCCTTCCTCACTTTCAGCAGCAGAAGGAATCATTAGCATACAGTACTTTTCATCTTCTCAGGCTACGCCTTCTGATGGCTATTTAGCCAAGCTAGTTTAAACTTTAAATCCCAGGCTATTAAGTTTTTCCCTCTCATTGTGTCTCTTGTGTTTCAAGAAATGCCTGTTTTCATGGGTTAAGTTTTATTCACACACAGCCTGCATATTTATTTACGTATCAAGTGTGGGTGCTTTTGTACTACAAGGGTGGAGCAAGTAGTTGAGACCATGCGGCTTGTAATTCTATTCACTGTCGGGTCCTTTGAGGATTTTGCCAACCGCTGTCCTACATAATAGCAGGTTTCACACCAGGCTGTCTGACATTAAAACTATGATGGATCTACCCACTCACACATTCTCACGTTCCCAAAAGTTCTGGCTTGAGGGAAAAGGAGCCAAAAGGTGCTTACCAGCTCATTAGTACCCAATTTTATGTGTGTGCAAAAACTGAGTCCTGGACGCCGGAGGCTGCCCCTGATCTGAGGGGAGGTCTATGGACTCCTGACAAGCCGTCCGCGGTTACTGTGCTCTCAGGTGTAGAAGGAAGTCAGTTGACTCCAGTGGGACTGGTCGGATGTCCTTCTCAAGCTAAAGGCCCATCTCAGTTTATTCCTGTAGAAAGCGGAGGTGCCCCAACCCCAGCAGAAGAGATGGTGGCAGCAGTCACCTCGGATGGCAGCTGGGCCTTGCCCTACAGCTCCAGGAGTGGGGGCGGCTCCCAGCTTATTGACTTAGGAAGAGGCAGACGGACCCGTTTTCCAAGATTCAAAGGCCCTCCTCAACTCTCCAGCTGGTCCAGGGTAGAAGAGGGAGCCAGGAAGGGGCTAAAGGTGGCAGTGCAAAAGAGAACAGGAGTATGCCTGATTCCCCCAATCCTCATTCCTGAGACCGACTTTCATCTGATGTCTGCCTTGTACTATGCAAACCAGCTTCAAGTCCTCATTCCAAAGGTGCTGCACTAATAATCCCTATTTAAAAAGCTCAGAAACAACACGGACTGGCTACCAGAATTTCTGAACCCAAGGTCTAAGTACACATATCACCGTGTGAGTTATCTACACCGGGACTTTAAAAAAGTATTGACAGAAAATTATACACGATTAGCTTTAAAAGCTGTTAAGCTGATTTTATTCTTTACTGGTTATGGGTACTTTTAATTTTCTCAATCCAATTTTTTGTAGGTTATGAAAATACCTAAGCATGATATATACCTAATTAAGAAGTTTTACTTTACAGCCCAGTTGTTAATTTAGGCTTTCTGGAATTTAGAATTTCTATTATGCAGATATTAAATCTCAGCTTTAAAATTATTTATTTTTTATAACTTGTCCCAAATATTACCTACTTTTTAACGCTAATGAGTTCACAAACCAGTTTAGGAATACAGGTGTTATGTAACGAAGCTACTTCATACTGAGTGACTATGTGCAGGGATATACTTCAGAGCAGTACCCAACAGCTACCAAATACTAAGGCAGGTCATTTGTCCTTTCACTTCTAAATCTACGATTTCCTTAGTTTGTAATTAATGAGCTACCTGAACAAAAAATGTAAATGTGTGACACAGAAGGTCCATGGAAGCTAAGGGTTACATTATCAGATTTTCCATAACACAGCTAAGTGGAACTATACCTACAGTACCAACCTCAAAGATCTATGATAAATGGCACAAAGGCAACCTAAGCTGGATGCTTATTTGAGGTCTTCTATTTAGGAAGACCACCTTATAAAACAGATTACAATCAAGATCAAAGCCTGTTATATTGACAAGAGATCTCTGATTCCATGTTGTCAGTGTGAAAAAACAAAACCTTAACGCCACTCATTCACACAAGTGACTGACGAACTGTTCATTTTCAGGGGAAAGAAACATACAATGCTGTGAAATAGTAGCTAAGGTTTTTCACATTAGTCTTCTAAAGGAGGTACTCCCAAGCCACTTCTCTTTATATCACTAAAATTGTGAGCAACATGTCTATTTTCAAACAAACCAAAAGGAAATACGTAAAGCCTTTTCAGAAGGAAAGCTTTTCCAGTAAAATTTAAAATTTTCCCTAATATTTAAGTTATAAACCAAACACTGACAACCATATATACATACGTTTGGACAAACAGATTGTGAGGTCCTACTTTCAAATACAACTGCAGAATTGGTTGCAAAAAAATCATCACTACACTTTCTCAAAAAATGAATAATTTGCTTCGGTTTGCAATCCACAATATGAAAAGTTTAATATAATGTTGGATAAATGATCATTTACACGAAAAGTAAGCTAAAGGAAGTCGAATCACTATTAAGATAAAAAAAATATGGCTTTAACGGCTCAGCAGTTTTTAAGAGCATATAAATACATAAACCTTGAAAGAGTTGGGCTCTAAAATCCATAAAAGTAACAGTTCTGCCACAGCGCATAGATATTTCATTCGTTTTGTGTCCCCGATCCACACCACCAAGCAGCTTTCAGGTAAGAATTGGAAGATAATCACATCCTACGTGAAATAATGACGATGGTGAGAATGAGAGTGTGCAAAAAAAAAATAAACTTTAAAATCCCATTCTCCAACCGCGTAGGTCCAGTAACAGGATTTTTCAACTGATGTACTACCCGCGCCGATCTCCAACAGCGTCCTCGGGCAGCGCTGGCCGGCGGGCTCATAGCTGAGACCTTTCGCTGCAACAGGGAAAGTGGTCTTCGGTCCGAAACAGGGCAGGGGGCTCGTGGCCGGCCCGCTGGCGCCCGCCGGGGGGCGCCCTGCTGAGGAAGGACGGCGCGCTGATCGAGTGCAGCAGCCTCCGGAACGTGCTGGGGAAGGCCCCCAGCTCGGCCTCCGCCCTGGCGACCTGCTCCTCCAGCCGGGCCACGCCGGCGCCGATCATCCCCACGAACGCCTCCAGCCTGTCGATCCTGCCGTACACCCGCCGCATCTCGGCCGCCTTCGCGTGGATGCGAGGCACGCCCTCGCCGACGACGTGGGAGGAGTCACCGCGCAGCATGTCCAGCATGCCCACGAACTCGTCCACCCTGGTGAGGAGGTCCTCCAGGCTCGCGTCCAGGGCCTCGACCTCGGGCCGCGCCCCGGCTCCGGGCAGCAGGCAGGCGGCGTAGCCCGCGGCGGCGCGGCGCAGCAGCGGCAGGTCGCGGCCCGGCGCTCCCAGCTCCGGGCCCTCCTCCTCCCAAGGCCCCGAGGCGCTGCTGTGGCTCTGGGACACGTTGCCGCTGTCTCTGCTCCACGAGGCGCCCTGGGGCTCGACCTCCTCCGCCGCCGGGCCCTGGCGCGGCTGCCCGAGGTACTCCGGTGACCCCTCCATGGCTCGCCACGGCCCCGGTTGCCTGCTCAGGCGCCCGCTCCGCTTCCGGCCGCGCGGGCCCAGGCCTGCGCACACGCACCCATCCCTGGTGCCGGCGTCGTTTGCGCATGCGCTCACCCTTACAACCCTTTTTAAAATAGAAAGTAAAACGGAAATACGATGGAGTGCACACATGTTAAGTGGAGGTATTGATTATTTTTACATATACATGCAACCATGTAATTTCCATCCAGATCAAGATATAGAACATGTCCAGGGCCATGAAGGACTTCATCCTGTCACTAATTTCTTCTTAATGCTCATAGTAAAAAGTCTGTTAGACCTTGATATTCTTGACTTTGAAAGTTCCCAGCCTCTTCAGATGGCTAAAATAAAGAAAGACATGGCTTCATAGCAAAGATCAAATCCAGGACACTGCTATAAAAATCAAAGAGTTGTGGCAGTTAAATCCCTCTTCCAATTCCCACCTCCTTTGGTTGCCCAATTTATTGTTAAGAAAAAGGCATTTTTCCTTTATTTTTGAGGTATCATTGGTATACAATCGTATATTAGTTTCAAGTATACAACAGAGTGGTTCAACAGTTACCCATATTATTAAATCCTTACCCCTACTAGTGTAGGTACTGTCAACATAGCTGTAACAGAGGGATTAATTTTTCCATGCTGTACTTCCATCCCTGTAACCAACCTACATCATGATTGAGAATTTTTGTGCCCCTTTATCCCCCTCAACCTCCCCAGCCACCCACCCCAACCCCTCCCCCATGGTAACCACCAATTACTTCTCAGTGTCTGTGAGTCTACTGCTATTTTGTTCATTCTGTTTTGCTTTGTATTTATATTCCACAAATAAGTGAAATCATATGCTATTTGTCTTTCTATGTCTGGCTTATTTCTCCAGAGCCATCCATGTTGTTAAAAATGGCATGGTTTCTTTTTTTATGGCTGAATATTCAATATTCCATTGTGTATATGTACCACATCTTCTTTACCCATTCATCTATTGATGGACATTTAGGTTGTTTCCATATTTTGTCTATTGTAAATAATGTGGCAATAAACATAGGGGTGCATATATCTTTTTGAATCAAGGATTTTTTCTTCAGGCAAATTTCTAGAAGTGGAATTCCTGGGTCAAATGGTATTCCTATTTTTAGTTTTCTGAGGAACCTCCATACTGCTTTCCACAGTGGCCATACCAATTAACATTCCTACCAACAGTGTAGGAGGGTTCCCTTCTCCACATCCTCAAAAAGCTGTCTTCCCTAAAATGATTTTTCCCATCCCCCATTTGTTCACTATTATGTGTTGAGTGGAGAAAATTAAAAAAACAGATATGCAAACAATGTCAAATCCTTCTTTAAACAATCTCAGAAATATCAAATGTGGTGTCTCACAGAGCCTCTCAATCAAACAGGGTGTCTAGGAATCTTAAGGGCTTGTTCCTTAGATTTATCAGCAGAAGTCCACCATAGAGATGAATGTATCTCAAAGGGGTTTGAAGGTGCAGCTTTCATCTAATGAAATAAGCCCCAATGAGATTCACAAGAAATCCACAAAGTTTTTAAGACAATTATATTCTGTTAATATTCTTGAAAGGACAGACAGTATAAAATGAAAGGCCTCTGCACGCCCCCACTTCCACTCCAAACGTCTAAAAGCAGAAAGCAGGTTGAGAAAATGACTCATCTGCAAACACATGCTACCTTTCCTGAAAAAGGAAGTTATGACTTAATGGGTGGAAACGAGAGCCCAGAGTGGGGCTGAGAGCCATGGGAGTTATTCCGAGACTTTGAGACTGGATGGCAGAATTTCTGTGGACCATTGATTCCTTTGTGCCTTCCGTTTTCCCCTCTTCTGAGCAGGAATGTCTGTAATGGTTACCCTGTGCCTGCCCCACATTTGTGTATGTATTGGATGTGTGGGGGCAGATAATTTGTCTCTAGTTTCAAAGGTCCTCAAATCAAGAAGAACTGCATTTTAGAACCTGGATTTAAGGAACGACACTCATGGAACCTACCCACATCTGACCTAATTTAGATGACAAAATTCTGGATTTAGAGCTGATGCTGCAATAGGATGTAACTTTGGGGGACCTTGGGTGGGGGTGAGTGTGGTTTTCATGTTGTAAGGACATAATTATTAATGGCCAGAGAGAAGACTGTAGTAGCCAGCCTTCAAGATGAGCCCCAATGTTCCCCAATTCCTGTTATTCACACCCTTGTGTATTCTTTCCTTTTGAGTGTGTACTGGACTTGGTGACTTGCTCATAATAGAAAAAGGCAGAAGTGATAATGTGTGACTTGGAGATTAGGTCATAAGAGAAGGTGTGTCATCTTTTTCTCCGTTGCTCTGGGGAAAATCAGCTACCTTGTTGTGAACAGCGCTATGGAGAAGTCCACATACTAAGGAACTGAGGCCTTTTACCAAGAGCTAGTGAAAAACAGCTTCCTTCCAAAGATTACATGAGTAAGCTGTCTTGGATGTGAATCCTCTAGCTACATTCAACCCCAGAGATGAGGCAGCCCCAAGTGACATCTTGACTGCATCCTCATGAAAGATCCTGAGCTGAAACTATGTGAAATAATAAACATTTGTCGTTTTAAGCTGTTTAATTTTCGGGGAAATCTGTTATGTAGCAATGGATAACTAGTACACCATTGAAGATGTATGCTACAATCTGTTTTATTTACTTATTCTCTTGCTGATGAGCATTTGGGTTGTTTTAGCTTTGAAGTTATTAAAATGAAGTTGCTGTGAATATTCTTCTGTATGTTTTTTTTATGACCAAACACACTCAAAATCTCTTGAGTGGTCAAGATATCAAATTACTCGGTCATAGAGTTGATTTACGTTTAGTCTTAGTAATGTCAAATAGTTTCCCTACTTGTACCAATTTGTATTCCCATTGTTATGGGCTGAATGTATGTGTCCCCCACTCCACTTCATATGTTGAAGCCATAATCCCCAAGGCGGCTATATTTGCAGTAAGAAAGTAATTAAGGTTAAATAAGGTCATGGAGCAGGGTGGGGGGTGGGGGTGGCTGTAATCTGATAGGATTAATTGACATTTCTACCAATAAAAAAAGACACCAGGGTTTGTGCTCTCTCCCTCTACCCCTACCTGTGCACAAAGAAGGTCACATGAAGACTAGTGAGAATGTGGCCACCTGCTTGCCAGGAAGAGAGATTTTGCCAATAACTGAATTTTCTGGCACCTTGATCATGGACTTCTAGCCTCCAGAACTGTGAGGGGGAAACTTTGTCTAAGCCACTCTGTCTGAGCAGACTAAGATACTCATCAAGAATGCATGAGAGTTCCAGATGTTCTGCATCCTCCCCAGCAATTTGGTTTTGTCAATATTTTACATTTTAGCCATTGTAGTGGATGCATAGTGCTGTTTCTTTGTGGTCTTAATTTGCATTTCCCTGTTGAATCATGAAGGTGAGCACCTTTTTATATGCTTATTGGCCATATGGATGTTCCCTTTTGTGAAGTACCTGTTTGAGTTTTTTTCCCATTTTAAAATTTAGTTATTTGTGTTTTTCTAATCTGTTACAAAAAGCATAACATCTAAATGTGATTTATTCCCACCAGGAGGTTTAAACATTTTAACAGTAAGGTATTAACAAAGGGCCACGTGGTGGAAAATATGCAGGAAGCTGCTCAGGCTGAGAGTAGGGATGGGGGTGGAGGACTGGTAAGGACCTGGCTACCTGTTTGAGTTTTTTAAACCTACCAGTGAAATTAAGACAAATGTAAGAGAAGGCCCAAAATGGATATAATTGGCTTAGATGCTATCTGGGAAAGAACGTGAACCCTGCAGTACTCAGCCAATGAGGAATCAGGGAAGGGACTCGCGTGCTAGGGAATAAATTACTTGGCACCAACGGCCGCAGGTGTGCCTGCTCACCAGGCTCCGTTCTTGCAAGATCATCATTTAAGCTTCGCTCTGCTGTTCTCTTAGTCTCCGTGTCCACTAGTGTGTTTCTCACAATTGATCTGTAGAGATTCTTGATACAGTTGAATATGGGTCCTTTGTCATAAACAGCTCAGCTATTGAAACTATCTTCTCCCATTTTGCAGCTTGCCTTTTTACTCTTACTGGTGTCTTTTGATGAACAGTTCATAATTTTAACAAAACCCAATTTATCAAACCAGGAAAGTTTTGAGAGCGAAAGGGGACACTATTTAATGATCACAGTAGGACACGAGGTATAAATTTTGGGCAAACCATGTCATATGATTATCATGGACCATATAATCATGTTCTGATCATTAGGGATATCTATACAATGTCCACCCTAGGTAATTAGGTGGAAACTGAGACCCAGAGAGATGTGTTCAGGTTGACCAACTTGTGCAAGGTAGCAGAAAGTAACTGGAGGAGCTAGGACCTAATTCAGGATTTGTCTGACTCCCAGACTTTTGGCACCAAATACCTCCATAGACTGCCTGGTAATAATTACAATACTATAATTGTATATTATAATTATATTATGATTTATTATGCAATAATTATGACTGTGGTAATTACATATAAATAAATAACTATAGTAACTATAATCCTGTAATGATAACACTCCCACCACTTCGATCTGCTGGTGCTTCGGTACTTGTGAGACACTTCCACGCACATCATCTCATTTCCCCCCTTCCCACTGACAGACATCCAAGGTGGGACCACCAGCCTTTATTCATCAGACTGGAAAACTGAAGCTCTGAACTGTGGGATGTGTGCGAGCAGGATCCCTCCAAATCGCTGCTAGTGTGACACTGGGTGAACAAGCCTACAAGTAGGCTCCCTCCATCCACAATGGCTTACTGTCCATGCTCAAGGTTTTTGTTAAAGGAATATTTAAGCAACATTTATGAGCCCCTGCTGTTTTGCTGGCCCTGTGTGGTGGAGACACAGAGGGGACCAAGACCAGAAACTGCCCTCAAGAAGCCTCCAGTCTTGTAGAAGGGCTTATATTTTAGGGAAGAAGGCTTCTTTCTAAAACATTCCCTAAGGCCTTACTTGAGCCCAGGCGGCCAGGAGAGGCTGAGGACAGAGCCGAATCATAAGTGGCCCTTTAGCTTGGGTTGCTTACAGTCTGGTGAGGAGGCGAAAGGCTACTGACCAGAACAACCCAAGGCGGGGAGACAGAAACCCTCCCCCCCGAGACCGAGCATGAGAACAAGGGGACGTTCGTGTCCTTGGCTTCTGACTGACGCCAGGGG